ACAAGCAGGGAGGATCATTTGAGCCCAGGTGGTCAAAGGCTGCAGTGAGCAGTGTTCGGGACAGAAATCCTGTTTCCAAAAAAAAATGGAAATACAACATGGATAAATTGTTTAAAATAAGCATCTTGTATTTATTTAAATTTAATAATTGATCATTTCAGATACAAAATATTTTATTCAACTCATGCTAAGTATAACTAGAATTTTATGGAATAAAATTTGAAAATTTATGTTCTTCTGTTAGGGTTATACAAGATAGACGAGAACAAGCAAAACAAGACTTGAAGGGTTTGGAAGAGACAGTGGTAAGAAAAGGATTGGGGAATATTTTATGGGTTTTTTTCTACCATGATTATTCTAAATTTAAAGTCTGAACTCCAAAAATATTGCTGTTCTTAATCCAAGGCAAAAGAACTTCAGACTTTACATAATCTGCGCAAGCTCTTTGTTCAGGACCTGGCTACCAGAGTTAAAAAGGTAATATAACCATGCCGAGGTGGGTGTTTGTGTAATGGTGCTTACTTCTAAGTAATTCTGTTACTCAAAGTGATATAGCTTTACAGTTATGTCAGTTTTTGTATAGTTAAGCTTAGATTTTTTAATTAATTTTTTCATAATACTTACTGACCTTCTTTTCTCAGAGTGCCGAGATTGATTCTGATGACACCGGAGGCAGTGCTGCTCAGAAGCAAAAAATCTCCTTTCTTGAAAATAATCTTGAACAGCTCACTAAAGTGCACAAACAGGTACTAAAGAGTATATTTTCTGGTAGCTGAAAGGGTAGTAACAAATCAAAAATTGAGGATCGGCAAGTAAGTATTTCAGTCTTTCAGCGTCGTCGGAATTTCTATACCCTGAGCCATTTTATCAGAAATTATATAAAGAAACCACAAGTAACTTTTAGAGGAGTTAATAATTTTAACAACCTTATTATCAAAAGAGATAGTGAAAATATGTATTCTTATTTTCTCTTTAGGATTTTAAGTCTGCATTTTCATAATTTATTGTAATTTTGAAATCTCTACTACACAAGACTTTGCAGTTAAAATACAGTCTTCTGGGGAGAGTGGTCTTTTTATACCTAATACACCATCCAGTGTGTCCAATATAATTAAGGAGTTTGTCATTTTTTTAAAAAATTAATGCTTACTTTGGAGGTTTTTTTGGTTGTTCTTTGCTTATTTTTTTTAGGACTTGATAAATGATTTATGTTACTAATTTTAAAAAGTTTCTCTACTCTTAATTGTTGTGTATCTTTGTTACTGTAAACCTTAAGTTTGCACCAGAGTATGGTTAAAGATATTTTAGCTTTTCTTGTCTTCAGCACTTACTAAAGGGCTTGCTAAGTTTATGTTTGTTATGTGCTTAATATATCTAAAGGGATTTTCATTTCACCAGATTAGTTGTCTTACTGAAGAAACAGCACTGTCCTGTAATTTATTGTCTTTGCCTAGTAGAGGGAAATAACAATTTTTCCTCCAAAAAATAATTTTTTCCTCCCCCTAAAAAATTAGAGGAAACTATACCTTTGTGAATAAATAGATACGTGTATGATGTGTACAGATGGATGTATTCTCTGCATGTTTCTGCCTAAATTAGATAAATGGGAAACAATATAAAATGTAGTTTTACTTCTTTTCTAAAGAGCAATTATGAAATGCTTGTACTTTTAGAAATCATTTTGTTAAATCTAGAATCCTTGTTTTCTTTTTGAACCCCTTAGTTGGTACGTGATAATGCAGATCTCCGCTGCGAACTTCCTAAGTTGGAAAAGCGACTCCGAGCTACAGCTGAGAGAGTGAAAGCTTTGGAATCAGCATTGAAAGAAGCCAAAGAAAATGCATCTCGTGACCGCAAACGCTATCAGCAAGAAGTAGATCGCATAAAGGAAGCAGTCAGGTCAAAGAATATGGCCAGAAGAGGGCATTCTGCACAGATAGGTTAGTAGAACACAATAAAACCTTTAAACCTTGCTCAGTTTGAATGCTCTTAGCTGAAAACATAATCTGAATTTTATGACGTGTTTTCATGGTGCATCTGTCTTTATTTTCTAACTTAGCAAAGAGTGGCACTGGTGGGAAAGAGGAATAACCGCATTAGCAGGACATGAAGATAAATGAGAACTAGAGAAGCAAGCAAGAATTGTCATGGAATGGAGAAACTATATAGAGCAATATTACTAAAGCCAAGAGAATTGCAAGAAAATAAGCCATCAGCAGTGATTTCATGTTTAAGAATGATCATTGGTGGCTGAGCGCAATGGCTCACGCCTGTAATCCCAGCACCTTGGGAGGCCGAGGTGGTTGGATCACCTGAGGTCAGGAGTTTGAGACCAACCTGACTAACATGGTGAAACCGCCTCTCTACTAAATACAGAAAATTAGCTGGGCATGGTGGTTAACCCCTGTAATCCCAGCTACTTGGGAGGCTGGGGCAGGAAAATCCTTTGAAGCTGGGAGGTAGAGGTTGCAGTGAGTCAAGATTGCACCATTGCACTCCAGCCTGGGTGACAAGAGAGAGACTCCATCTCAAATAATAATAATAATAATCATTGGTGCAGGAAGTTTTTTGTTTTTATTTTGTTTCTTTGTATTTATTTAAATGACACAGGGTCTTACATTGTCACCTGTGCTGGACTGCAGTGGTGCAATTATGGCTCTCTGCAGCCCTGACCTCCCAGGCTCCTGCAGTACTCCTACCTCAGCCTCCCAAGTAGCCAGAACTACAGGCGCATACCACCACATCCGGCTGATTTTTGTATTTTCTGTAGAGACTGGGTTTTGCCTTATTGCTCTGTCTGGTCTTGAAATCCTGGACTCAAGTCATCCACCCACCTCAGCCTCTTGAAGTGCCAGCATTACACAGGCATGAGCCACTGCACCTGGCCAGGAAGAAGATTTTTCAAGGCTCAGAATTGTACAGGTCCTAGAGAAAAGAATGGAACAGAAAAGAAAAAGTGATAGAGAAACAAAAAGGCAAAGAAAAACAAAACATTTGGAAATTTGTTGTGAATAAGAGAAGATACCTTAACAGTCATTGCTGTCACATCTTAAGCTTTATTCTAAAGCCAGTCTTTATTTTTCGTATTAGCTAAACCTATTCGTCCTGGGCAACATCCAGCAGCTTCTCCAACTCATCCAAGTGCAATTCGTGGAGGAGGTGCATTTGTTCAGAACAGCCAGCCAGTGGCAGTTCGAGGTGGAGGAGGCAAACAAGTGTAAACATTTATACATATCCACAGGTTTGTAATTTATACCTGGCTTTTTATAGCTATATATGGAAAATCGGTGGTTAAATAGGTTTTTGGATTTTTATCTCACATTAGTGCTATAATTTTTTTTAACTTAAGCAATTATAAAAGTTATTTAGCTTGATCTTTTTTTATAGTTTAGATCATACTGTATTCAAATTTGTGATCTTAATTGTTTTGAAATCTAGCATTGGACCATTTGTAATAGCTCTTAGTGTTCTGTCTAATGGATGTATCATGGTTTATAAACATCCCATTTTTGCTAGACATGTAATTATATTAATTTGTTCCATAATTGAAATTTACAGAAACCAAAATTTTCATATATGAAATTTGAAACATCTGTTTTTTTGAGATGGAGTCTCACTCTTGTCGTCCAGCCTGGAGTGCAATGGCATGATCTCGGCTCACTGCAACCTCTGCCTCCTGGGTTCAAGCAATTCTCCTGCCTCAGCCTCCTGAGTAGCTGGGATTACAAGTGCCCATCACCACACCCAGCTAGATTTTTGTATTTTTAGTAGAGACGGGGTTTTACCATCTTGGCCAGGCTGGTGTCGAGCACCTGACTTCATGTGGTCTGCCCGCCTCAGCCTCCCAAAGTGCTGGGATTACAGGCGTGAGCCATTGGGCCTGGTCTAAAACATCTTTTTGTACTCCCTAACCTGTTAGAGATTATTTCCAGAAGGTTCCCAGAGATGGAATTACAAGGAAATGTGAACATTTGTAAGGCTCCTGGTTCATATTTACATGTTGGTTTCTAGAAAGACTGCACTGAATCGCATATGAGCCCAGGTTACTAACAGATTTCTGAGCTTTATTTATAATTATGTACTGCATAAAACAATCACTAATTAGAAAAAATCCAGAGATACTACTATATATATATTTCTTTCTAGAGCTTTCTGTACTAGCTTTTAAATTTAAAAGTTTGTTGATAACTCTACATATTCGCTACATATGCTGCTTCGTAGCCTGTTTTTTTTTTTTTTTTTTTTTTTTTTTAAATAAAGACGGGGTTTCACCATGTTGGTCAGGCTGGTCCTGAACTCCTGACCTCAGGTGATCCACCTACCTTGGCCTCCAAAGTGCTTGGATTACAGGCGTGAGGCACCACGCCCGGCCCGTAGCCTGCTTTTGAAACTTAGCAATATATTCTGAACACTTTCTTGTACAACATGATTGATAGGTTAGTAGTTGCCTAATAATTCATCATATAGCAGGAACTATGATTGTGACTCTTCAGGAAGTCCGTGATGTGTATATGCTTTGGAAATAAAAAATACTAGATAATTATGAAATGATTAACTGTTTCTAACAAATACTAGAGCTAGTTTATTTTAATGTTGCTTGTTTTTACATTGATACTTTGCATACTATACTGGCTCTAAATTTGAGTAGAGAACTAAATATTTTGAAGGATTCACATTTCTAACAATTTTGAACATTTTGTTCACACAATGTAGGACTTAACACAGTGGCAGAGTGAAAAGAACATGGATTATGGAGTTCCATCCAAGTTGGAATCCTGACTTGACTTTTATCAACTTCAGCAGATAAACCTTTTAGTAGTTTTTTTCTAATTCTGACTTATTTTACAATGCTTCAGTGTAAAAATAAATTATGGATGTATTGCTTAACTGTTTACTGAGTCTCTAAAACAACATTTTTCTACATAGCCACAGTATTATCACACCCAATAAAATTGTATTTTCATATTATTTAATACCAGTTCATATTCAGATTTTTCCAGTTTTTTTTACTAAGCTGTACAGCTGGTTTGATTAAACCAGGGTACAATTCAGGGCTCCTGTTTGCATTTGTTTTTATCCCTTAAATCTCTTGTAATCTTGAATGACCAACTTTTTAGTGATACTAACTTACTGAATAGTGGGGCAGTTATCCTGAGGGTATAACACCTTCTAGATGTGTCTCATTGTGTTTATATGTAGTCACCTTGTTTTCTCACCCCTCTATTTCTATGCAAAAGCATTGATTAGACTCAGCATAAACATTTTTGACAAGGCTATATCATAGATAATACATACTTAGTAGACCTACAATAGCTGGTTTTCCTGATAATTAGAGATAGCCTGTTTTTCCCCTTTGGACTAAGTCTCTGTGTTTTTCCCCTTTGGACTAATAACTCTGTTGTATTAGTAAAATGGAAATCATTTCATAAGAATTCCATGAGTTGGCTGGGTGTGGTGGCTCATGCCTGTAATTCCAGCACTTTGGAAGCCTGAGGCTGGTGGATTACCTGAGGTCAGGAGTTCAAGACCAGCCTGACAAACATGGAGAAACCCTGTCTCTACTAAAAATACAAAAAAAAAGCTGGGCGTGGTGGTCCATACTTGTAATCGCAGCTACTGGGGAGGCTAAAGCAGGAGAATCACTTGAACCTGGGAGCCAGAGGTTGCAGGTGAGCCAAGATCACACCATTGCACTTTAGCCTGGGCAACAAGAGCAAAACTTCATCTCAAAAAAAAAAAAAAAAGAATTATGTGAGTTAAGATGTTTCCCAGCACACAGTATTCAATAGATGCAAGCCCTTTTTGTCCTGCCTTTCTGGAAGTGGGAGCTGGGCAGGGGGATTTTCAAAGCATAGATAGAAAGTTTATCCTTTTTGGATATTGTCCTCACATTAAAATTCATGTGTCAGCTTTAAACTTATATCTCAGTGTACAGAGGACAGACCATGCTTTTGTTAAATATAGCTGATCCCAGTATAGTGACACCAAGCTAGCACATAAGGGAGACAGCTAACCCAGCCAAACTAAATTTTCAAGATTTGAAAGTTATGATGTAAAAATATAATTATTTACAGGTTTGTTTAAATGCTGGTCCAAAGATAGTGGTTCTTTTCACACTCCTCTTGTATTAATCTGTCTTAAAACATGATTGGAGAGTATATGATCTACTTAAGTGATAAATTGTTTAAATGTTAAATAATTTGCAGAGAAATTTTTTTAATGTTAAGAAAATCATTTCAAGTCACTGCATTTACTTTTGGAAAGGATGATAGTGTGTAAATAATACTGATACTTTTAGTTCCCAGTTTTACATGGTTAGTCTGCCTTGCATTGTACTTTAAACAGGTTTTTTTCTAAATTCATAAGGTAAGTAGGCAGTTTAATACAAAGATGTTTAATACTACTGGAACTGTTGATTTCACTGTTACTTTTCCTACTGTATACACTTCTTGTTTACCCTTATTCCTCTACATCTCTCTCCCTTTTTTTAAAGCTTCCACATATATAACTTAGTTGCTGGTTAGTGGTCCTTGGTTTAAGAATGTCACTGACCACTATCTGCTGGTTAAAAGATAACCATCTTTTTCCTTTTTAAACAAATATAATTCATAAATCAGCTTACCCATAGCTTTACTGGGGAGAATAAAAATAAAAGGAGGGCTGAACTCCTTTTAAACATTGTACTTCTTCTAAACACTTGTACTTAGGTGGTAAATAAAAGGAAATCAAATCATTTAATATTGCCCTCTTTCCAATTTTGGGGAAAGTAGCCACAGCTGTTGGCTAAAATGCTTATAAATTATTGGCATGTTTTATTCTTTATGTTTATCTCAAACATGAATTTGGCAAAACTAAACATATTTACTCTTTATGCTTCCTCCCCTTTTCAGGTGTTAAACAGTAATTGAAGTATGAAGAGGACATGGCATCAAGCAGTCATTCAATGACTATAACCTCTACTCCCTTGGGATTGTAGAATTATAACTTTTTAAAAAATGCATAAATTATATCTGGCCTGTACAGCTGTTTCCTATCTACTCTTCTTGTAAACTCTGCTGCTTCCCAACACATCTAGAGTGCAATTTTGGCATCTTAGGAGGGAAAAAGGACAGTTTACAACTGTGGCCCTATTTATTACACAGTTTGTCTATTGTGTCTTAAATTTAGTCTTTACTGTGCCAAGCTAACTGTACCCTGTAGGACTGTACTTTTTGTATTTGTTTTTTATATATGTTTATTTTTTAACCTCAGTTTAAATTACCTAGCTGCTGCTGCTTGTTTTTCTTTTCCAATTAAAATGTCTTCCTTTTTTTTTTTTAAGAGAAAATGGAACATTCAAGTTAAATGTCTTAAATTTTACCACTTACAACACTACATGCCCATAAAATATATCCGGTCAGTACTGTATTTTAAAATCCCTTGAAATGATATTATCAGGGTTAAAATTACTTGTATTGTTTCTGAAGTTTGCTCCTGAAAACTACTGTTTGAGCACTGAAACCTTATATATGCCTAACTAGGCATTTAAGACTGAGCAAGGCTACTTATTATCTCATGAAATGCCTGTTGCTGAGTTATTTTGAATAGAAATATTTTAAAGTATCAAAAGCAGATCTTAGTTTAAGAGAGTTTGGGAAAGGAATTCTATTTCTCTTTTTCCTGATTCTGTACTCAGCAAAGCTTGATGGAATGAAAATGCCCTGCTTCATTCTGGTGAGCCTGCTAGCCAATATAAGAACTGGACAGATACTAATTTGTCATCTTTAATATTAGTAAAATAAGATAGGAGTAAACATAATTTTATATTGTTAGTACTTTATTGGCTGATCTAAATTTATAGCCTGTGGAAATTGAGGAAAATGAAGAAACAGTACAGATACATGATGAATTAAATATATATAGGGGTCAATTTTGATCTGAAATCCCTGAGGTGTTTTTAACCTGCTACACTAATTTGTACACTAATTTATTTCTTGTTTAGTCTAGAAATAGTAAATTGTTTGCAAGTCACTAATAATCATCAAATAAATTATTTCGTTGGCCATAGCCCAAAATTTTGTAATCAGTACTAAGTGTATACGTATTTTTGCCACTTTTTCCTGAGATGATTAACATAAATCAACAGCTTATTTTAGGAAACTATAAAAATAATAGGGAAAGAGATTTCAATATTTGCTTCCTCAGTGGTAGGGGGGCATTGACTACAACTGTGTTAGCAGAAATTCACAGAGAATGGGGATTTAAGGTTATTCAGTCATTAGAGAAACTTGGAAAGTTCTGTGTTAGGACCTGGCTGGCAGAATTAACTTTTTGAAAAAGTTTTATACACAAATATTTGTATTGAATTTGGAGCCATAGTCAGAAGACTCAGATCATAATTGGCTTATTTTTCTATTTCCTTAACTGTTGTAATTTCCACTTTTATAATAATTTTGATTTAAAATATAAATTTATTTATTTATTTTTTTAATAGTTGAAAATCTTTGCTGTTGTAGTCTGCAACCTCTAAAATGATTGTGTTGCTTTTAGGATTGATTAGAAGAAACAGTCTAAAAATTGAGATGAAACATTGGTGCAGCCAGATATAAGTAATACAGTTAACAAAAAAAGTGCTGCCACCTCTTTATGATCATTTTCTAAATGGAGAAACATTTGGCTGCATTCACATAGACCTTTATGTTTTGTTTTCAGTTAAAAACCTGCCTCCCTTGGCAATATTCATAAATGAAGCAGAATTTTTTTTCTCTTTTTTTCTGAATGTTAGTTTTATTCTTGTAAGATGCATCATGGGTATTGATGCTGTGTAATGAACAACGAATTATAATTAGCATGTGGTTCAGAATATACAATGTTAGGTTTTTAAAAAATACCTTGATGGTCTTTTCTATTTATAATTTCAGACTTTCATAAAGTGTACCAAGAATTTCATATATTTGTTTTCAGTGAACTCCTTTTTGCTATAGTAGGTCATTAAACACAGCACTTACTCTTAAAAACTAAAATTTCTGATCATCTAGGACACTGACACATTTCAATTTGCAGTGTCTTTGATTGGATATATTAATGTTCCTCTGAATGGCATTGATACATGGTTCAGAAGAGAAACTCAGTGAAACAAGAGAATAATATTTATTCATGGTGGTTAATTAAATTATTTGCCTAACTTAAGAAAACTAACTACTGTGCATAACTCTCAGTTTGTGCTTAACTCCATTTTACATGAGGTGACAGAGTCTGAGTCTACCTGTGGAATATGTTGGTTTATTTTCAGTGCTTGAAGATATGTTCAGAAATACTTGGTTTGGGAAGACACCATTTAATTTTGAGTTAACTTGCATGCTGTAAATGTGTTTTATGTTTAAATAAAGAGGAAAATTTTTTGAAATGTAATGACTTTCTTAAAACTTAAGTGTTAGGTTGATTTTACATGACTGAGTTCAGGCCTTCTGTCCTACCAGAATCGTGACTGATATGTCATTATATTCATGTATATTTTGTTTCCTAAATATGTTGCAGCCTTTGGACGGCAGGTATTAAATGTGTAGTCTAAAGAGCTAGAAATGAATGACTAGTCTCACATGTAATATAAAACTTTTTTTTTTTTTTTTTTTGAGATGGAGTCTTGCTCTGTTGCCCAGGCTGGAGTGCAGTGGCGAGATCTCGGCTCACTGCAGCCTCCACCTCCTGGATTCAAGTGATTCTCCTGCCTCAGCCTCCTCAGTAGCTGCGATTATAGGCGTGTGCCACCACACCTGGCTAATTTTTGTATTTGTAGTAGAGATGGCCAGGCTGGTCTTGAACTCCTGACCTCAAGTGGTCTTGAACTCCTGCCTCGGCCTCCCAAAGTGCTAGGATTACAGGTGTGAGCCACTGCACCTGACCAGTCTCACCTACAGTTTATTTTATATCATCCCCATTGTTCATCTAAGTCTGGTTGTTTTATTAACCAGGATAAGAACACCTGTTAAAGTTTGTTTTTTAGATAATTTCTCAATGATCATTCAGGTCTAGCTGGAAAATAACTTTTAAAAGACTGTTCCTAAATTCAAGTGGGGATTTGTTATTTTCTTGTTTGGGAGGGCATTGGGCTTTATATGTTTTTACACTATTGTGGAAAATTTTAATCAGACATGAAATCAGAATAATAAAACCCCAAGTACCAGTTACTGAGTCTTAACAATTACCAGCTTCTAAACTAATGTTGTTTAATCTGTAATCTATTCATCTTCCCCCTTCAACCTCCCCATATTGCTTTGAAGGAACCCTAGAAAATATGCATCTTTCGTAAGTATTTTGATATGTATTTTTAAAAGATAAGGACTTCTTAAAATACACCCAATGAATCAAAAATTTATAATTTCCTGATATCAAATATTTCGTTTTTGTAAACAGTTTGAGTCAAGATCCAATGAAAGTTCATGTATTAATGAAGACTCCCACTCTATCTTATTTTTTTCATTGCAGT